CGGTAGGGGGGGGGCGAATAGTGAGTTCGGGAAGACGTTTGTGTGACTTTCCCCACACAAACTTTGTGTGGGGACACTCTCATGTGTACGTGCCAAGCTATTTTTTGTTGCAACACACATGTGTGGCAGCGCTGACATCCTTCTCGGTTGTCGAGAGATGGATGAGGCGTCTCGGGGCGTACGACAAGAATTGGAAGTTTGGTGGCGTGGGATGAGCTTGGCCGACGGATGAAGCTTGAACCCCTCCCCCACACGAACAAATCATCCCCAATCTAGATTTCGCACGGGAGATGCGTTAGTCAAGGGGCAGGGACGTTGTCTGCTCTGGTCAGCTCTCTAGTGCGATGACTGGGATGCGCGTGGCGAATGGCCCCAAGAATAAAACGAGGCCATTTTGGTTGCCCACACTCTCACACCCCGTAACACTGACGGTCAGTCGATGGCAATTCGGCAAACACACGAGCACCAAACGAGAGCCTCCGGAGTATTTTTTTTTTTTCGTAATACCGCGGTGCGGTAAAAAAATTCGAACCGCGATGTACGACAACCGAGCGCGCAGCCGTTGCCGGCCGGCCGGCCGGCCGGCACTCGACTCGGACTCCAACCCCTTTTTTTCACGCTGCACCCCATCCTCCCGTGCGCGTTCCACATCCAGGTGGTGGCGGCGGTGCTTGGGCGACGAGAACGACCACGCATCCCTTCGCAGTGTCCGCAAGCCTTGTCGCAGCTTATGCAGGCGTGCTGGTCGCACGACCCAGATCAACGGCCTTGCTTCGACGACGTGGTTCCATGGCTCGAAAGTCTTTAAACGGGGGGGGAATGGGTGTCGGAGATTTTGAGGAAGGGGGTGCGGGTATCGCGCATTTGGGGCGGGGGGGGGGGGGGGGGTGCTTGAGGGGATGGGTTTAGGGATAACTTTGGTTATTGATTTTGGTTATTGATTTCGGTGTGTTTCTCGCTTGTTGTTTTGTATGCCTGTAGTAGACTGCAAGAGCGCTCTGCCCCCCCCCGCCCCCCAGTCCCTCCTGGATGTCCTGCGGCGGGGCTCACTACTCCCGGAAACCCGCAGAAACGGTTTTGGAAGAATCTCGTTGAGACGCCTAGGTTATTTTGAGATGTGGCTGCGGACCTGCCTGCCTGACTCGTGGGATGTCGCTCGTTTTGTGTCTGGTCCAAGAAATATGTAACAACATTCCCTCCCTAGCGCTGTCGGCGCCGTCCGGTGTTTCCGCCGCTGGTCAGTAGGACGGCGGAATGGGGGGGGGGGGTTGGGTCGGCCTCAGAGGCTATTGAGACTCTTGTGGCCCTTGGCCGTTGAAGATTCCTCCCACGTGCCAGCCGCACCCTGTGTTGTCTCTGTCGCTCTTCTCATCTCTCGGCCCCCTGCGTGCGTGTGGTGCGTGGGTGACGGGAACACCGCTTGGTCGGAGAGGGGGTGAGAGACAAAGGGAACAACCAGGACCCCATGATGCGCTCCAGGTCCGCAGCAGCAGCAGCCGCAGCAGCCAGCAGCAGCAGGTTTCCGCAAACTTTTTCGAGGGAGGTTTTTCTCTAGAGGATGGTTGGCGGGCCCGCGGGGTCACGGGGGATGCTGCTCCTGCTGTTGTTGTTGTTGGCGCCTTGTCCTGTGTGCTTTTGTGGTGGTTGTGGTGGTGATGATGATGATGAGGAGGAGGAAATAGGAGGCGTTTGTTGTGGGTGCGGCAGACCGGGCTGACTTGACTGGCTTTTCCGTCGTTTTTTTTTAAGTACATGACACCGTGTGATGAGATGTGAGAGTGACTGCTAAGGCTTAAGACGAGAACCGTGAGAAAAAAAATGCCGCGCGTCCGTTGTATAACATGTATGGGACATTGCCGAGACAGTTTTTCTGTTAGTGGTGAGGCGTGGTGTGCGGTTGCCTGCCACTCCTCAACAACTCCACTCCACTACTCCACTACCCCCGCCCCCCACCCCCTACACCCTGTTTGTGGGTACCTTGGGCGGAAAGCCTCTGTATATCTACAGTCAGAGGTGGGCGTTTGGCTACAATACCCCCGTCCGTGTTGTCGCTGTAGCGGAGCCCCCTATCCTCTTCGATTCTGAGTTTTGTGTGTGTGGTTTTATAGCAGGATAGGCGCGGCTTGGTTCTTGTGTGGAATGCTACCATCCTACTCCTCTAGGGAACTAAACGAAGCAAGGGACCGATATGATAGATAAGAAGGAAAGAGACGGGTGTTGGCTTCCCCAATGGTCCCTTTTTGGTGCCAGACGAAGCTTGCCTTTGATCCAACGCGACCTGTACTGCTTTGTGCTGTTTCGGACAGCACAGCAAACGGGTCGTAAGCGCGGAGAAGGGGCAGGGGGGGGTTGTTGCTTGGTTTGGTTCCCGATTCATTCGTTCCCGACGGTGGCTGTTTCGTTTTTGTTCTTCGATGTTGTCGTCTGTCAAACTATCTGTCCGGCTAGCTAGCTAGGTTCAAGGCCAGGGTTGTAGGTAGGTAGGTGCTCTTTAAACTTCCTTTCTGCTATCTATTTGGTTTGCCGCCCTCCTTGTGTGTGCCGAAAGCATGCATGCGTGTTTTTTTTTTCCCTACAACAGTACATCGCTGTTCATTTTGTCCCGAATTTGCCCGTGTAGGCGAAAACAAACAACTAAAAAAAAAGTCAACACACGTGCGTGCGTCAAATACACACGCACGCGCTCTGTCGTGTTGCTGAGGGTTCTTTCCCCGCAAACAAGAAGCTGGCTGGAACACCTATTCTGGAAAAAGGCGGATGGGGTGGTAAAAAGCGGGGACGTTTGTCGTGGTGTTTTCGTGACAAAATCCGATCGATCCCCCTGTTTCGGCTTCCTGTAGCCACTACAATACCACTCCACCACCCACCGCATCATCAGCAAAAATTCCTTGAATGCCGACGGATATATACATATGTAGACGGGATGCGAGTTGAGGTCCACGTTTGTTTGTTTGTTTGTTTCCGGACGGATTTGGTTAGGGTACACTTGTTTGTTATTGCCGTTCAAAACACCCGCCTCTCGACGCGATACGATTTACAGTGTAACTAACTAACTCTTCGTGGGATGTCGTGACCCTGTTGTCCCTCGATTGACTTCCAAATTGAATGAATGGTAGCTTGAGTGTGAACTGCACAATGTCGCCCCGTATCTTGCCGTACTTATTTGTAGTCATTTTTTTTTTTTTTTTATGGTTGTTGTTGCGTCCGTCCTTTCAACCATGCGTGGATGGTCAAAAGTTTGTTAGCAACACATGTTTCGACACACTCCACGCACAACAAACGGGCGCTACGAGTACTACATGATACGTCCCCGCCGCCTGTAAAACACAAATAAATATCGCGGCCAGGCAAAAAAGAGGCTTCGACACCAACAAACAACGTCGAAGTAATTTTTTATTTTTTCTCTACAAGTACAGTATTCATTAATTTATTTGATTTGATTGGCTCCCTCTTCTTCCCTCGCTCTCCTCACTTATAGTACTATATTCTCGGCAACCAGAGCCTATTCCCCAGCAAAAATCATACTCCCATTTGCTTCTCTCCCTTTTCTCGTTCCCTCTGCCCGGCGCTCTCTCTGCGGGTTGTGGTCGGTTGACACCGCCGTCGTCGCCGCTTCATGGCGCACCATCACCTACATGATCTCTGCCACATGCCACATTATGCGTGATGCGCAGTGTGGTCTGCAGCACGTGCCCCCCTCCTCCAAATTGCTGCCATTTGCGTGTCCCCCCGAAAGGTGGTCGTGAAAGGAGATGTAAACTCCTGTGTGTTGCTACTACTTACAGTTGCCGCCGTGGAGCAGCGGAGAGAGCGAGAGAGAGAGAGGAGGGGGTTGGTTATGGTGAACGATCCAACGAGCACCACTGAAGGCGAACGTCGACAAGTGAGTCAGGCTCTTGCGTGTGCGTGTTGGCTGTGAAGGGCGTGCGAAGGAAGGGCGCTCTTTGTTACAAAAAAGCAGCCTCGGACATCATACATTCGTTTGTTGATGCGACCACGTTGCTCTTTTTTTTCCGCTTTCTCCGCCAGCTTGGCTCTCCCAAGTTGGATGCGGTGCCAATCCTTCTGTTACATACAGAGCGACCCCAGACACTGTGACACATGGCAAGCGCGCCGCGTGAAGCGCGACCCTGCAGCGCCAGCAGCGGGACCTGGTAGCCCGCCGATCAACGACACCAAGACCAGCGTCGCCGACCCGGACGCTGTTTCGCCCCTGGCGTTTTGTTCGTTCTCCCACATATAATCACAATCTCCGACGGACGACTTTTTTTCGTGCTTGCTCTCTCCGTGTCGTGTCGCGCCCCTTTGACCCGCCGGCGGGGCAGCAGGCTTACCTGCGATGCGTTTGCGCGACGCTCAACTTTGATGTCGGGGAGATCTGGAGCTGGCGCAACGAAGAGCACGATTCTGATCCCGCGGAAGGTGAGGGAGAAGAGGTCACGCAGCGCACAGGCAGAAAGCACGCAGCAGGCACGGAGGAAGCAGAGGCAGACAAGAGGCTTTTGCGCAACGCGGTTTTTTCTCTCGCGTGTGTCGGCGTCGCTCGGCGGCGACGGTTGCTCGACGTCCACCACCCCGCTCCGCTCGAGTAGCAGTAGAGGTCCCCATCATTTCGGTGACGTTTTTTTAGGACATACGGCAGGTGTGCAGGGAAAGCCCCTCCGACGTATTGGAATTTAGGAGTCTACGACAATAGACTACTGCTGTACTGCTGTTTGTATCGGTTCCTTTTTCCTGCTGGATACCTCGGGGTGATTTGGGACAGGTCAAACGTTAACATTGAAAGCATTTTGGGTTGTTGGAGTCACGCACACGCACGGTTGTGTGCTGGCAAGCTGGGCGCAGGGAGAAGAGGCAACCCCTCCTTTTTTGCGGAGTTTTATTTTCTCGCGTTTGGTCTACCATGGCGGCGACTCTCTGCCGAGATGGTGGCGGCGGACATCATGACACATCTATCTCCCCATCTACGTCATCTCCGAAAAAAATGTACCCCCAGGCCCCAGACGACAGATGATAAACGTAGATTGTCCTCGTTCCACCTCTGTCGGAGTGCCGCTGTTGGCTGCTACATGTTTCACCTCGGTCGATGGCGAGTGTTGTCATTGTGGGTGCCATGGCTTTCATTGAGTCGGTGATGTGGTAAGGCGGTGTGTTTGAAGGAAGGAAGCAGAAATAAAGCTGGCCTCCTGTGCTGCTGAACCCGAAGAATATGAGAAACACACAGCCGCCGCCGAGGAGCTACAAGTATGTACAGCAGTGTTTGTGCTTCACGGGGTTGCTGCTGCTTCCTCTTTCGATCATCACATTTTCCCGAAGAATAACGATGGAAACAGCAGCTGGCTATCTCTAGGCCCGCTGCCGTGTGCCTATGATGTGTGCAGGTGTATGCCAGTGTTTTCCGGACGTTTCCACGCTATGTAAACCGGTATATAGACTCCGCATGCATGATGTGTACATGTTGCGGCAAAATGTGCCCCCCGCTCGAGCGACTTAGTACTACGTTGCACGTACATATTGGTTCTTTCCGCAATATCTCACCCACGGTTGGCTTCCATGCTCACGAACGTGTGCATGGTGCGTCGAATGTCAATACGTCAACACCAAGCCCGACGACCGACGACCCACACACGCAGCGACTAAATACTGCTGCTGTCCGGTCAGGCTGTGGGGCTCCAGGAGGGTTATGGCAGGCAGTAGATCGTGTAATGAAACACGCACGTCCCGCATGTCTTTGGCGTGGTTGTATGTCTCTCATGGCTCTTTCCCTTGAGGGCGGCACGAGAAAACACGCGGTCTACTATTACCATTGGGACTAGAGGTCATTTTTTTTTTTTTTTTCGCGAAGACAGCAACAAGAAGGAAGACAACAGCAGTAACCGCAAATGGTCGCCCTCAACCCTTACACATACCGAATCCACGCCCTGAAACTTGCGAGATGGCGTATGTGTTATGTAAACGCCTTGTAGCGTCACGAACCAAACACGTGTCGTGTTTTGTCATACACGGTCTGGCGAAAAGGTTGCCTCGGCTCGCTCCGCTGCACACATCCACACTGACTCTCCGGCCGAGAAGCTTCGGCTGTGCTGGGAGCAACGGTGTGAGGTTTTGCAACGGACAACGGCCACACCACGGTTCGTCTTATCTCTTGTGTAGTCTTAGATGGCCACACCACGGTTCGTCTTATCTCTTGTGTAGTCTTAGATGGAAGTACTGCTTGTACAGCAGCGTTGGGCTTGACCCGCACGATCAGCCTGTGCACTCCCGTATGCCTCTAAGGAGTCGTCGCTCGCAAACCCGGCGGGAAGGCGGTCTAGAAACGACAAAAGAGAAGGCTGGTGAAAGGAACGTGCTGCTGCTGCTGCCGCTGGGGCTACTGGTCGCGTTGGTGCCGTCTCACGCGGAGCGAAGCGTGTTTTTTCCTTCTCCGGAGGATGTAGGATGTACAGCAGTAGCCCACGCGCACTGGCTCCTAAGTTGTTGGTGTTCCTCGAAGGCAATGTTCTTGGACGATTTATTTGTTAGCGAAAGAGTGCAGATGAACTAGGTGCGCGGAGCCTTCCAATGCTTGGCAATGTCAACCAATCGCAGTGTCGGCCACACAGAATCCGGAGACACAAGACTCCCGAAACGCCGTTGCTGTAAGTAACCTTTGTACGTCCACGACGGGATATGATGTTGTTGTTCCAAGTACAGAAGCGAACGCACATCAAGTGGTGCTAAGGACGATTCTAAGTTGTATTTGATACAAGAACAAGGGCGGCGGATATGCTGCCGGTGCTGTACACACCAAGATTGTAGAGCGTGTTGTTTTTGTTTCTTTGTGTGCCTTGATTTATACACCGCGCCAGATGTCAGACTTGACAAGAGCGAGGCAGACACCTCAAGGCGTTTTCTATTTTTCTGTGTGGCTTCAAAACGACACACACACGCACACTCGAGGGAAGGTTTGCGACACCCGCGGATGTTCTCTCGCAGCGTTACGAGTCAAGGTGGAATCGAACCATGTGTTTTGAGGGGATGCATAATGAACACATGAGACCTGCTTTTGTTAGAATGGGTGGAGCCAGAGGTGCCTGAGGCGGGAACCGGTTATTTTGCTGCGGTGCGGCGTTTTTGAGTTGTAGCCTGTCTCGCTGACGAATCGCCCCGCCAGCGGGTGCTTGCTGTTCACCTGCAGAGGCCGGATGAATGCCTCTTGGTGCATTTTTTTTTATCTCTCTCTCTGCAAAAGCGACCCACCCACGCGCGCGCGAGAGCGGTGTTCCGCTGTAGAGAGAGAGAGAGAAACAAGAAATGCATCAACATACAAGAGGTATTTTTTCATCCGGCCCCCGCAGGTGAACAGCACCCGCTCACGGTGCGGTTCGTCGGCGAGACAGGCTACAACCGCCGCGCCGCCGCCGCAAAAAAAAAAAAAAAAACGCATTAAGATACCGGTTCTCCCCACCATAAGCACCGCTAGCTCCACTCACTCCAAAAGGCAGGCTTCATTTTTTCATCCGCTCTCAAGACTCAATCGGCGAACCGTGAGTGGGTACTGTTCACCTGCGGAGGCCGGATGAATGTCTCTTGGGTTCATTTTATTTTTCTCTCTGCCGCGGAAACCCGTTCTCTCGAACCCGCGTGGGTGGGTGGGTTGGTCGCTTTTGCGTCGCCTGCGATGCCGCCTATTGGTCCCCTCGCTTGTTGCCTACAACACGGCGTGCATTAGCCGTACCTCAGACGCGGCTGTGGCATTCCTTCCATTTCTCGTTGCGGAAGGACGGAAGTCTTGCCAGGTTGTGCCATCCAACGGGCACCCTGTTTTTTTTTCTTTGAGACAGCGTCGTCTTCGTGAGGGAGGGTATACAACCGGAGATAGATGTACGTCATACCCAGTCGCGCATGTCGTGTGCTCCTGCCGGTTTTGCAGCGTACGGGTACGGCACGCGCACGCACCGCGACGGAACCAAAGGTGTCAGGTGGCGATCCACACCCCGCGCGCCGTCGCCTCATCGTTCGGTCGATACATGCTGCTTCTGCTGCTGCTGAGGATGGTGATCGTGCCTCTTTTTTTTTTTTTGCTGTTCAGCGGTGGTGTTGTGTCGACACAGCGAGGGGCACCGGGAAAGGCGGTGCGGCCCCTGACCTTAATCTCTTGCATGTGTGGGTGCGTGTAGCATAGCACGTTGCACCTCTTGTGCCCCCTTTTTTTTGTGTGTGGTGAGGTTCTGTGTTTCTTCCTTTTTCTTCTCTCTCTCTCTCTCTCTCTCTCTCTCTCTCTCTCTCTCTCTCTCTCTCTTTCTGTCGCCCTCCCTCTCTCTTTCACCCTTCCTTGTGTTTCGTGCGCAATGATCTCGTTGTGCAAAAACAAAACAAAAAAACTTTGGACCCCGCGTCGTGATCGTTTCATTACGGTCGCTAGCCAACAGGAACAACAACGGCCAATCAAAATTTAGCGAGGGCAACACAGTAGTGGCCCGCACAACACGGCGAGTTCGTCACCTGGTCAACACCCTGTCGCCTTTGGGAACAAACCAGATAAACTAGATGACTCACAATTGTTGATGAACGGGTTTTTTCATTGATCAGCCGGTTTTGCACGGGTCCATGCCAAAAGACACAAAAAACAATGACGCACGTTAACACAAAACCGCGCCTACTTTTGACTTCTTTTCTTCCGAGCGAGACTTGCTTCCCTCCTCCGAAACTGACCCTCTTTCCGAAACGGAACGTGTCGTTGCAGCAGACGCTCGCGACGACGATGACGGCGACGACAGCAACGACGGGCCGATGCGGTTCGTCCAGCTGTACACGTCGCCGTCGTTCCGGGACCAGAGGTCGAAGCTCGTCACCCCCTCGGAAGACTGGGAGCAGAACCACACGGACGTCTCCAAACACAAGTTTTCGCCTCTGGTAAGGGGGGGGGGGGGGGGGGCCCCCCTTTTGGGGGCCCAAAAAATCCCGCCCCGCCCGCTTTTGTTTTAAGGTTCCCCCCGGAATTGCCACAAAAACCAAAGGACCCTTTGATTTCCTTGGGGGAACCCCCTTTTCCCAAAAAAGGCCCTTGCTTTTCTTGAACCCCTTTTTAAAAAAAACCCCCTTTGGGGGCTGGGGAAACCCCCTTTTGGCCCCTATTTTCTTCCCCCCAGTTGGGGGGTGGGGCGGTAAATTTTCCGCAAAAGTTTTCCCGAAAAGGCCCCCCCTCCAAAATTCCGGCCCCAAAGGTCTTTGGGGGGAAACTTTTCCCCGAAAACCCCTTCCCTGTCCGGGGCCAAAACAAAACAAAAAAAGGTCCCCCCCCCCCCCCCTTCCCAAAAATGAAAACCCGCCCGCAC